CGAGTATTGCCCCCATCCTCCAACCTATTGGAACCCAGTATTTCATATATAGATAAGGTTAGGTTTTCTTTAAATAGTTTCTTTGTTTTATTCCCCCCCCCCCCCTGTAAAACTAAACTACTTATTAACTCAAACTCCTTCACAATTCCAACTTCATAGTTCAAATTTTGCAAAAACTATTTTTTTATGCATATGGTAGGTCGGTTAAACGCAGGTCGGTGTCTCAAAAAAAATAAAAAATATTCAATTACTTTTTATTTTAACTTTTTCAGCTACCGATCTTACATTTTTGAAAAGCCGTTGAAAAATGGATGTAGAAACAAATATGTGTCACATGTCAATATTTGTCAAAGGAACTGAATTTTTTTTCACAAACTCTACTTTTCTAATCTCTATATCTTTGCTACCCAATGTCGTAGACATTTGATATTTCAAACTATGAATTCTGTCAGACCAAATAATCTAAGTTTGAAATATCAAGATTGTAAAGATATAGGGATTAGATAATTTGTGTTTGTGAAAAAAACTTTGTTGAATTTGACTGTTCCTCTCTAAATCTCTAAATAAAAATACAGATTTTCTTTTCTAATTTTGTTAATCCATGAATCCCTGAAATCCTGATAAATGAGAGGCATGATTAAATAATAAGATTTGACGTAACCAAACTTTATTTTAATAAAAAAAAAAGACTGTAATATGAATAGAATAGTGTATAAGATGTTTTTTAATAATTGTTTTAAGCAAGCAGAAAAGATTGTTAGAAATTGGATAAAATTGGTTTTCAAGAGTTTTTCTAAAAAGGTTAAAAGATTGATGTAAAGTTAAAAAAATATCATGTAAGGGGTGTAATAAGTTAGTTTCAATGATTAAGTATATTTTTTCCAGAATTATGCAAAGTTGGGTCGAAGAATTATGTGAAATTGTCTCAATTGTCCCAAGGGACGTAAAGTAACTTAACGTCCCTCTGTTGTGGGAATCATATGTCGGTAATATTGGCTAGAAAAAATTATGTAAATTTGGTTTTAAGGATTATGTAAAGTTCGTTTTATGTAAAGTTTTAAAGTTAATGAGTTATGTATAATTTTTTAAAAGAATAACGGATAATTGTTTTAAAGAATTATGTAGAATTGTTTTAAAGAAAATATGTATAATGGTGTTAAAGAATCATGTAATAATTGTTAAAGAATTAAGCATAATATTTTAAAAGAATTGTGTAGAATTATTTTAACAAATTATGTATTATTGTTTTAAAGAATTATGTAGAATTGTTTTAAAGAATTATGTAGAATTGTTTTAAAGAAATAAGCATAATTGTATTAAAGAATTAAGCATAATTATTTTAAAGAATTATGTATAATTGTTTTAAAGAATTATGTAGAATTGTTTTAAAGAATTATGTATAATAGCCATTAAAGTTACTTGAAAGTTACTTTTGTAAAGTTTCTGATAAATCTATATATTTCAGTCTGAACAGATAGCAAAGAAAATAAATATTTTTGCAAACATCTTGATATATCTGATATAAGAAAATATTAGTTTTCACTCCAAAATATCACAAAACCAAACTCCGTAACTAAAAGTAAATGAAATCTTTGTAATGGACAAAATTTCTAATTTGCTTTTCAGATTTTTGTGGATAAAGTATATTTGCTGGAGATATTTCCAGGATAAACCTGCCAAACCCATCAAACCTTACTCAGGGTATACCTGGAAGTACAGAAGAACCAGAGATTACTCTGTACTCACTACTCAGGGTATACTCGGAAGTAAAGACGAACCAGAGATTACTCTGTACTCACTATTCAGGGTATACCTGGAAGTACAGACGAACCAGAGATTACTCTGTACTGACTACTCAGGGTATATCTGGAAGTACAGACGAACCAGAGATGACTATCTGTACTCACTACTCAGGGTATACCTGGAAGTACAGACGAACCAGAAATGACTATCTGTACTCTCTAATCAGGGTATACCTGGAAGTACAGACGAACCAGAGATGACTATCTGTACTCTCTACTCTTGGTATTCCTGGAAGTACAGACGAACCAGAGATGACTCTGTACTCACTACTCAGGGTATATCTGGAAGTACAGACGAACCAGAGATGACTCTGTACTCACTACTCAGGGTATATCTGGAATACAGCTAGACGAACCAGAGATAACTTTGTACTCACTACTCAGGTTTAGACAAAAAACAAAACTTAATTCTTTGAAAGTTCATGTACAAAGTTAATTTGGATACTTTTTTCTTCTTAAAATATAAAAAACTCTAGATTTTTTGGGGCCTTTGCGCTTAATTTTCTAGTAACAATTTTAGCTTTTAACTGTTGCTTTTCAAGCCGACTTTTTTTATTGTCATCAAATAAAACAAACTTTCGCATATTTTCTAATTAAACTGAAAGAAAAAATCATTAAAACATGACATGAAAATTAAAGTAAAGATTCAATTATGACTTTAATTTTAAAATCAAGTGGTGAGCTGCGTTTTTACTGTATATATTTGGCTAGGAAAAGCTTTGCAATAATTTTTTAAAGTTCAAAAACTTTGAATTTTTATAACGCACTGGACTTTCTTTAAGTATATTTCTATTGAAAGATATTCAATTCACACCGTACACACGATGATAATAACGATAATAAAATTCATCCGAGCAAAAAAAAATAAAAAAAGATACAGATATGTAATAAATGCTGTACTCTTAAAAGTTCGTTATAAAAACAGCATCAGTCCAGGTTCAACTAGTCCACGATTAAATTCTAACTGGACACAATCCACATGGCCACAATCCCGGGAACTATCAACACCACAACCTGGGCGCGATCTCGTTAGATATCACAGTGTAAATACCATGTAAATACGGACACTAGCAATCAATTGATCAATGTCTCAAACAGGACACGATCCACACGGCTACAATCCCGTAACTTATCAACGCTACAACCTGAGCGGGATCTTGTTAGCTATCAGTGTCAATACAGACACTAGCAATCAATTGATCAACGTCTCAAACTGGACACGGTCGACATGGCTACAACACTGTGACTTATCAACACAACAACCTGAGCGCGATCTCGTTAGCTATCGGTGTCAATACGGACATTAGCAATTAATTGATCAATGTCTCAAACAGGACATGCTCTACACGGCTTCAATCCCGTGACTATCAAATAGATCCATACCAATACTCAAGGTACAGTCTCAATTTGTATGTTTCAACAAAATCCAAATTATTCTACACTGCAATCAAAGCAGAGTTCTGGTTATAACTGATGTCTATTTCTAAATCTCTATGTTATATGTAAGTTTTTTCTCCTTAGCGTTTTGTAACCCTGCCAAATCTGAGGCACCAACAAAATCCTTTGCATATAAATCAAATCAGTGACACGGCGGCCAAATCTGTGGCACGGCAGCCAAATCTGTGGCACAGCAGCCAAATCTGTGGCCTGGCGGCCAAATCCGTGGCTCGGCTGCCAAATCTGTGGCTCAGCAGCCAAATTTGTGGAATGGCAGCCAAATCTGAGGCCCCATGGCCAAATCTGCGGCACAGTGGCCGAATCTGAGGTACAGCAGCCAAATCTGAGCTACCATGGCTAAATCTGCGGCACAGCGGCTGAATCTTCAGTATAGCAGCCAAATCTGTGGCACAGTGGCCAAATCTGTCGATCAACAGCATGGCGGCCATATCTGCGGCACAGCGGCCATATCTGTGGAAAGCCGACCAAATCTGTGGCACGGCAACCAAATCTGTGGCATGGTGGTCAAATACATGGCACATTCAAATATATTTTTAATGTAAAAACCAAAGATGTACAAATTGTGTACGCTAGAACGTGTACGGCACAAGTCATTTCCGGCCGCATATACCATTTCCTTTCAGAGCTTTCTCAATTTTTCATTATTTTTATGAACAGGGTTGGCTAAAACATTATCTAAAAAAATTTTCTACGTGAAGAATCTGGAAATTCTACTAAATCTAATTCCATGCCGAACCTTAATTCATACTAAACATAAAACTTAAGCTTAATCTTTACTAAACCTTGATCCCATACTAGACCTAGACTAACTGTGTAAACAAACCAATTTTATTTTAAAAGTGACTTAATAACTTATTTATAGAACTATTTGCTTTTTAACCTGAGAAAATACATTTCTTTAATGAAGTCATCCTATTCCACAGTTTTCTGGTTATCACTGAACCTTAATCCATAATAAACCTTAATACAGACTAAATCTAAATCCATGCTTAACCTTAATCCCAACTAAATCTAAATTCATGCTAAACCTTAATCCAGACTAAATCTAAATTCATGCTAAACCTTAATCCCGACTAAATCTAAACCATGCTAAACCTTAATCCCAACTAAATCTAAATCCATGATAAACATTAATTCCTACTGATCCAAAATAAACGATAATCCCTACTCCGAACCTAAATCCATAATAAACTTTAATCCCTACTTCAACCTAATACCTACTAAATCTTTATCTTAATTCCTCCTAACCTAAATCCATGATAAACAATAATCCTTACGAAATGTTAATACCGACTAACCCTAATACATGCTATAGCTTAATCCCTCTCAACTCCGATAAACGTAATCCTTTTATCTTGGTGCCTGCTAAATCTTTGTCCTTTTTAAACCTTATAATCCCTGCTAAACCTTAATCCCTTCTAGACCTTAATCCCTGCTAAACCTTAATCCCTTCTAGACCTTAATTTGTTAATCTTATCCCTTCTAAACCCTAATCCGTTCTTAACTTTAATCACTCTTAACCCTGATAATCCCAATATATGAGTGTGAGAAAGTGAGTTAGCTCTTAATATAGCATGTTTTAAAAAAACACATGGGTTTCAAACTTTAAACAAGTGCAAGTGGAAAACAATATTGGTTTTTCACTTAAAGCTATTAAATACCAACCTAGCATCTTTAACTCTGTGTAAAAAAACTTCTTTTTCTTAACAATTTTTTTTCAGAAAAAAATATGCTATCGAACCAACAAGAAAAAAATGTTTAAGACTTCAGGAGGGGTGGAAAAAAATCCTGAAAATGTTGCGAATTTTTTCTTTCTGTGTATTTTATCTGGCCCAACCTGCAGGTTAGATTATAAAATTATAAATTATAATATCAATTATACACTTATAATCAAATCAATAAATGAAAGTTTGAAAAGATGTGTGAAAAGAAACTAGAAAATAAACGAGAATATCAGTTTTTGTTCTCTGCTTAATGAATCAGCTAAAAACTTTACTAAGAATAAAACACAAAGTTTCTCCCAGTCAGCGAATCAATTCAGAAAACGGCGCGAAAAACCTTCTATGAAAACATTCTGCAAACTCTTTCACCGAAAGATGCCTCTTTTGATTTATTATTAAAGAGACAATCAAATTATTTTCACCGTTAGTTAGAAAATTGTCTATCTAACATAGAATTAAAAAAGCAGTTCCTTTCAATAATTATAAATTACCTTTAAATTTCTTCTAAGCGATTTGAATTAACGCGATTGGCGTAAAAAAGCGCAAATTCTGTCAATATATTTGCAAGTAAAATTAAGAAATTGTGAATATTCTGTTTAGATTAAGATTAATGAACACAATATTCTTCCAATATATATTTAACAAGGGTTGCCAAGTTCTGAACAGTTTACTTATTCTAAACATTTTGTTTAGAACTTGGATCAGACATAAACTTTCCAGTGGTTCGGGTCAAGGTAAGTTCAAATTAAGAAGGAAACTGAATTTTTTAAATATCAAGAATTACATATATCATATAGATTTAAACTGCTATGCAAAGTTTCATAATTTTTCAAGATTTGGTCGACTTAGAAGTGTTGCAAGTGCAACCCTATGGTCTTTGATTCCACCTTACTAACTCACTTGTATAACCTTTTTTGAAGCACCTTTTATAATTTTAGTTTTTAAAAAGGAATAGGCTTAATTCTCATCAATTTTTGCTTGAGAACCTTTGGATCACTATGCGTAACATTACTTTGCTTTAACGTTCACAACGAAAAAAAACGTTCCATGAACAGTAACGTTAACAGTAAAACGAAATAAACTGATTACATATCACCATCTCTTATTTTCTCTTCCCAATATCTTGGCAACCTAATGGAGTAAAACTTTGATATTTCAAACTATAACTAGCTAACTTCTTAGAGGTTTACAATTTTGGAGTTAAAGGCGAGTAATCAGTTTTTGGAATAAAACTACAAGATCAAAAAATCAAATTGTTTAAATATCTCTGTAGAATAACAAACCTTGGTAAAATGTGTCATATCTATGGAATTAAAGTAAAATCAGAAACTAATATTTGAAAAAAAGTATTTAAGAAAAACAGATAAAACGAAAGCTAAAACAGGGATATCTTAGACCTTGGGGCACTATGCGGCATAAAAAAGATACAGTTTTAAAGATACTCTTTGGAAATAAACAGCACAGACTGATTAGTACTCCCTTTTAAAATTCCTAAACAGTCCCTTTCAGGAGATCCTAGTCCCTGAGTACGGAGTGATTGGTAAAAACGCTGTTCTATCCTGTTCCTACACCTCTACACACGGAGTATATTCTGTACGATGGTACAAGAACGGAGTAGAGTTCTACTGGTGAGATATACATCGCCGTCAATACAATGAAGACGACTTTCTATTTCAATTTTTTATTTCTATCAAGCCGTTAAGCATCATGGATACACATAAATATTTGAACAAAGAGAAGTTGTCAATTAACAGATTCTCTTTGTTTACTTTTAAACTTGTAATTTGAAGAAAGCTTGTTATTCAAACCTGAATAGAAAAGCTGTCTTTATTGCATTGGTATAAACGCGACCATTGTAGGAGCATTTTATCAAAGGACCGTCAGCTATTTTGTTGTATTATTAAAGGGACCGTCAGCTATGTTTTTGTATTATTAAAGGGACCGTCAGCGATGTTGTTGTATTATTAAAGGGACTGTGAGCGATATTGTTGTACTATTAAAGGGACTGTGAGCGATATATTTGTATTATTAAAGAGACCATCAGCGATATATTTGTATTATTACAGGGACTAAGAGCGATATATTTGTATTATTAAAGGGACCATCAGCGATATATTTATATTATTAAAGGGACTGTGAGCGATATAGTTGTATTATTAAAGGGACTGTGAGCGATGTAGTTGTATTATTAAAGGGACCATCATCGATATATTTGTATTATTAAAGGGACTGTGAGCGATATATTTGTATTATTAAAGGGCCCGTCAGCGATATATTTGTATTATTAAAGGGACTGTGAGCGATATAGTTGTATTATTAAAGGGAGTGTGAGTGATATAGTTGTATTATTAAAGGGAATGTGAGCGATGTAGTTGTATTATTAAAGGGACCGACAGCGATATATTTGTATTATTAAAAGGACTGTCAGTGATATATTTGTATTGTTAAAGGGACAGTGAGCGATATAGTTGTATTTTTAAAGGGACCGTCAGCGATATATTTGTATTATTAAAGGGAATGTGAGCGATGTAGTTGTATTACTAAAGGGACTGTGAGCGATATAGTTGTATTATTAAAGGGAATGTGAGCGATGTAGTTGTATTATTAAAGGGACTGTGAGCGTTATATTTGTATTATTAAAGGGACTGTGAGCGATATAGTTGTATTATTAAAGGGACTGTGAGCGATATAGTTGTACTATTAAAGGGACCGACAGCAATATATTTGTATTATTAAAGGGACTGTGAGCGATATAGTTGTATTATTAAAGGGAATGTGAGCGATGTAGTTGTATTACTAAAGGGACTGTGAGCTATATAGTTGTATTATTAAAGGGACTGTCAGCGATATAGTTGTATTATTAAAGGGACTGTGAGCGATATAGTTGTATTATTAAAGGGAATGTGAGCGATGTAGTTGTATTACTAAAGGGACTGTGAGCNCTTAACCTGAACTTGAATCTGAACCTTAACCTGAACCTAAACTTGAACCTGAACCTGAACCTGAACCTGAACCTGAACCTGAACCTGAACCTGAACCTAAACCTAAACTTTGGCATGAACTATGATTGGTTGAAAAACATACTTTGTAAATGAGAAAACCCATCCGGACCCTCATGTTTAAAACTGCAAGTTTTCCACATTTTACAGCTAACATAAAATTTTTATATTTAGCTTTCAAATTATATTAATTCTATGAAAAGCTGGGACTGGATACGGTTGTTGAATGTTTTCAATATATTTTCCTTCCCATTTTCTATTCTTTAATACAGAAAAATAAATAGTAAACATCGAACTGTTTCAAGGATTTAGATCTAAACAATAAACATTAAGGTCGGCGGAACAAAAATTTGAAAAGTTAAAATAAAAAATAATTACAATTAAAATAAAATGTATTTGTCGTGTAATTTTCGTTAATATTTATTTATGTGTTAATTAACTCTTGTCGTTTTGAGATGAAAATTAACCATCATTTAACAATGTAGAAACGCTTTAAATTGAGATCACTTGAAATTGTGGGAACAGTCCCTTAAATCATGATTTTTGATCCTTGAACTCTTTCATATGAATTGTGTTGAACAAGAAATATTGATGATTTTTTTTGAAATTATTTTTACTCTTGATAAAAAAGATTGTTTGTGTGATAAAAATAAAGAAATTATGCGGAATTTATTTTCTTTCAATATTGCTGAACATATATTTATTTTATCCCAAATAAAAATAAAGTGAATCGTTGACGACTTTTTTTTACAAAGAGTCACTTAAATAGCAAAGGAAAGGTTTTTTAAATTCCTGTGGAGTAATTAAGAAGATAAAAAGACCATTAGAATCAAGGTTGTTTCTTAAAGTTAAATACTCTGGACTCATAGCAATGGACAATCAAAATCCTCATATTACGTCACGGAGTATTGGCGGAGGATAAAGTGACAACGTTGTTGTTTAGAGGGGGAAAGGATTTTCTCCACCCCCTCTCACCAAGATCGGTGTTACTTCATCTTCCACCAATAAGCAGTTACGTCATAAGAGGATTTTGCTATGAAGACGACATTTTCCTCTTAATAGCCTGTGTTAAAATATTGCTAGCTAATATAAGTTAGGAATAAACCACAGAATATTTGTGTCAAAGTGGGAAACTTCGGGTTAAACTTGGACAAAGAATAATCAATAAAAAGAAAACTTATAAAAATAATAATGATAATCATAGTAAACAATAAACATTATGGTTTTCGATGATTTATAAATTATAATTTTCAGTTATCTTCCGGGTACAGATAATCCTATATCAGTCTTTCCAGCACCTGGTCTTCATGTAGAGGTTAGTCATCTTGTAGAGGTTAGTCATCATGTAGAGGTTAGTCATCTTGAAGCGGTTAGTCATCTTGTAGAGGTTAGTCATCATGTAGAGGTTAGTCATCTTGTAGAGGTTAGTCATCTTGTAGAGGTTAGTCATCTTGTAGAGGTTAGTCATCTTGTAGAGGTTAGTCATCCTGTAGAGGTTAGTCATCATGTAGAGGTTAGTCATCATGTAGAGGTTAGTCATCATGTAGAGGTTAGTCATCTTGTAGAGGTTAGTCATCATGGAGAGGTTAGTCATCATGTAGAGGTTAGTCATCCTGTAGAGGTTAGAGGTTAGTCATCCTGTAGAGGTTAGTCATCTTGTTGAGTTTAGTCATCATGTAGAGGTTAGTCATCATATAGAGTTTAGTAATCTTGTAGAGGTTAGTCATCATGTAGAGGTTAGTCATCTTGTAGAGGTTAGTCATCCTGTAGAGTTTAGTCATCCTGTAGAGGTTAGTCATCTTGTAGAGTTTAGTCATCTTGTAGAGTTTAGTCATCATGTAGAGGTTAGTCATCTTGTAGAGGTTAGTCATCCTGTAGAGGTTAGTCATCCTGTAGAGGTTAGTCATCATGTAGAGGTTAGTCATCTTGTAGAGTTTAGTCATCCTGTAGAGGTTAGTCATCTTGTAGAGTTTAGTCATCATGTAGAGGTTAGTCATCATGTAGAGGTTAGTCATCCTGTAGAGGTTAGTCATCATGTAGAGGTTAGTCATCTTGTAGAGGTTAGTCATCATGTAAAGATTAGTCATCCTGAAGAGGACGAGCTAAGTAACCATGTAGATGTTAGGCATCATATAGAGATTAATCATCTTGTACGTAGAGATTAGTCATCCTGTAGAGGTTAGTCATCATGTAGAGGTTAGTCATCATGTATGTTAGTCATCCTGTAGGTTAGTCATCATGTTGGTTAGTCATCCTGTAGGTTAGTCATCATGTAGGTTAGTCATCATGTAGGTTAGTCATCATGTAGGTTAGTCATCATGTTTGTTAGTCATCATCTAGAGGTTAGTGATCATGTAGGTTAGTCATCCAGTAGCAGAATTACGTAATGGCACGTCACAGCGTATTCTTTGAACCTTTTTTTTCAACCATGAAAAGAGATTCATGCATTCAGTTTATTTCCTTTCTTGAAAATTATCAATTTTCTTAAATAAAAACTCTCCAACATTTTTACTCAGTCAAAGATTGTAATTGTAATTTCAAGTGACATTTTATTAACAGATGGCCATGGCCGATTTACAATCTTAAATTTTAAATAATTATATGATAAATTTCTTAAAAAGTCACTTGTAAAAAGAAGCCCCAATGGGAAAAATTTCCACTTAAAAAAAAACATGGATATTTCATTCATTCTTAATCAGACAATAAACTTAGTATACTTTTGTGAATGGGTCATACCACTCTATAAATTTAAGTTACTTTAAATTGCGTCGATATCACTTTAAAACTGAAGTTTAAAATTTTATAAATATTTATTAATAAACTAGAACTGTCGGCAAATCTAAAAATATTTAAAATATTTTATCTAAAGGATTGAAAGGATGGAAAGGAAAGGATTAGGAAAGTAATACAGATTTTCCCGTCATCGGTAGTGCGTGGGATTTGATTTTGATTTGATGCATATAAATCCGGGAAACCAAATTTAGAGAATTTAACCTTCAACAGATTTCTAGAGCTAAGAATATAAAGTTTTACCGTGAGAGCAATTCTATCTGAGAACCAGAGCCAACTTTTCCAACAAAATTGTTCTTTACAGTTTCCTTTAAAAAAAGTTTACGTTTTACACCAAATTTACCATTCTTTGTAGAAAGTATATTGTAGTTAAATTTCTCCCAAGTGTTCAAGCTAGATCATCATTTTTGCAGGAATAATATTTTTCTACTTGTAAGCAAATATTTTTAGGTTGAAAAATCCTCTGCTACTTCAGTTTATCTACAAAACCTTACGCTGGATAGCACAGGTAAGGGATTAGTTTATACATCTTAAAGGGACTGTAAGCGTAATTTCAAGTGACCTTCTGCTAAGATGGCAATGTCCGATTTACAACGGTACCCTTAAAACCTTAATCTGAACAAAAATGTGGAAGATACCGTCGTTTTTCTGGCACGAAAAGTGTTTATTTCTGTAAGTTTCTCCTTTGCTTCTTATAAACAAGAAATGCGCAAGTCACTTTCGCAGAGAACCCGCAAAAGAAAAAAATCATGCATATATATATATAATTTATACTTGATCAGAAAAGCTTTCGATGGTACTGTTGTAAATCGGGTAATGCCATCTTTGCATGGAGGGTCAGTTTAAAATACGCTTCTTAGACAACATTTAAGTTTCAAATCAAATCAAATCAAATCAAATATAAATATTTGTCTCAAGTTAAAAATATGGAAAATATCATATTTTAAAACATATTTATTAAACTTGAGACGGGGACCAGCCAGGGGCTGTTTAACACCCAGCCTCCCACTGGAGAGTCAGTTTTTGCAATGATGCTGACTTGAAGAGGTGCTGCTAGATGTCATGCTGCTCATGGGATGGAGGGAGTTGGAGCTACTGGAGAGTTTAACCATTGGCGCAATTTTTTTTACAAAACTTGAATTTACCAGAATAAAAGAACGAAATATTTTTAGAAGATACCTAACATTTTCTTCTAGTAAAAATATAACTTCTAATTTCAAAATGCTTTCGAAAGTTCCATATTGTGAACAAAATGTTAGGTAAAGGAATTAAGGCTTTACCACAAACCAAAGTATTTAATCCTTATATCATTGCATCTTAATGGTGTAAATCTTTGATTTTTCAAACTTATATTACTTGATCTAGTTTGAAAATTTTAAGAACGCCCAAAGAAAGTCATATTCAAAGGATTTTATTTAATCCTTTCACAATTTACAAAACATATAGTTTGTACATTTATTATGTATAAATAATGTATATACAATATTCTCAGAAACATGTATATCTATCTATTCATATTTGTATCTATGTGTAATGTTGGCAGCTTTATTCAATATACATCAGAGAGAGAGAAAAATAAATATAAAGAGTTTAATATAAAGATACAAATCTTCAAGGTGCAAGGAACCTTAACTTTATGGAATGGATAGGTTTAAATTCAATTGTTGAATAATAGAAATATCTGCCATTTTAAGCTTGCCTGTGGTCTGAAAAATCTAATTATTCATTTATAAAAGATAAACCAAGATACAGGCTAAAAGGGTTCCATTTTAAACCGCAGTGGTTAATTATGCATCTTCTCTTTGTACAGCATAAAACAAAAGCAACAAAAGTTCGTAGATTAAATAACATTTTTCGTGGATTATCAAGATTTTACAAAAATCAAAATTTTTCTGACAATTTGTTGAGACCACAAATTTAAAATCCATTAACCTGAGGTTATGTAAGGTCCCACACAAAATTTGGGCCCAATCGGTTTAGCCGTTTTGACGTTTTGACGTTTCTTGGATACAAACGGACAGAGAAATAGACAAACAGACAGATAGACAAGCAAAGTATATAAATAGATATGAAGCTAAGTTTTATTATTTTTAATCCAGGACGGTATCGGTGTGAGGTGAGTGGAGAAAGTCCATTCTTCCCAACCGACTCCTTGTACGAGGATATGCTGGTAGTTGCTCTACCAAGAAGAGGACCCAGGATACAGGGAGCTAAACCAAGGTTGGATATAGGAATTAGGGAGATAAACCAAGGTTGGATATAGGAATTAGGGAGATAAACCAAGGTTGGATATAGGATTCAGGGAGTAAAATCAAGGTTGGATATAGGATACAGGGAATAAAATCAAGTTTGGATACAGGAGACAGGAAGTAAAATCAAGGTTTGATATAGGATACAGGGAGTAGAGTCAGGGTTGGATATAGGATACAGGGAGTCAAATCATGGATGGATATAGGATACAGGGAGTAGAGTCAGGGTTGGATATAGGATACAGGGAGTAGAGTCAGGGTTGGATATAGGATACAGGGAGTAGATTCAGGGTTGGATATAGGATACATGGAGTAAAATCAAGGATGGATATATAGGATACAAGGCGCAAAATCACGATTGGACATACAGGTACCACAATTAGGGTTAGAAATAGGATACATGGAGCAAAATCAAGGATGGATATAGGATACAGGGAGTAAAATCAAGGTTGGATATAGAAAACAGGCTCTAAGATAATAAATAAATGATTTTTATTTATATTTATCTAGTACACAGAGTATAACGATACCAATATTACTAGTATAACCACTACCCTGAGATATTTTAATATCTCGGCTCACTGCACAATTTGGTCAAAATTTTCTGCCTGCATTGTAACAATGGAATCTCTAGAGTATCCCTATCATATATACTCAAACTATGTACCGGTACAAAGGAGGGGGGGCGGGGGGTAATTTGAAATACTGTACATTTAAGGGATTGTTCAGATGTTAAGGTGAAGTAAAAGCCTACCAAGTTTATTCTAATAAAATATATATATCCTAGGTCTTATTGTCACTTCTAAACCAAAATAAAAAATAGTAAAAAATTCCGTGAAGTGTATGTAGTAATTTTTCTAAAAGGATTATAACAATGTTTAAAGAAAACCTAGAATCCGCGTTGTCTTTTATAAAATAATACAATTCAAATCATTATGGTTTTTCCATTTATTTGATTACTAGTCTTATATGGTGCTGTGGCCATGTATGAGTTTGAGATCGATCGTTTCAGCCTTTTTGACGTACATTATTGGACACAAACAGATATATAGATGAAAAATAATAAGTCAAACATAAAATAGTTAAAGGACTTGAGTCGTTGTCACAAACACTTAATTTCCAATCCTATATCTTTGCAACCCAATGTCGTAGACCTTAGATATTTTAAACTATTAATTCTGTTCGATTAAGTCATCTAAGTTTGAAATATCAAAGGTTTAAAAGTATTTGGTTCCTATTACATTTTGCAAAATACATGAACAATCCCTTTTATTAAATCTCATTTTTGTTGGTAACCCTGTAAACTTTTACTATATGAGAGGGGGACTAGTATCAATACTACAACAATCTCGTAAAATGTGCTCTAGGGTAAAGTAAGAATGACAAAAACCATCAACTTCATATTTCTATTTCCTTTACAATCATTTTTCTTGTAAAACTTTAAAAAAACAATTTGTACTTTATTCTGAAAAATGTTCCCCAGTTGTTGCGACAAAAATTCCACTCTGTTAGCTTCAAAAATAGTGCAAAAAAATGTGCAAAAATAGTGCAAAAATAGTTCAAAAATAGTGCAAAAATAGTTGTAAAAAATTGTAAAAATCCACCAATAATTAACGGAGAAATCTGTCAAATATTGTTTTAATTATTGTTTAATAATAAACAATGAGAACTTGTTTTTAGATAAAAAGTTGAAATTACTAAAAGAAAGGATACTTAGTAGCTTATATTGTACTTGCAGTCAAGTCAAGGCCCCAAGCCTCTCAGTTAAATGAAAAGCTTCAAGACTTGAAAAGATATTTAGATATTTTGAGAAGAACATCGTCTTGTTGTTTTATGCTCCCATAAATTGT